AGTAGGTTTCTGTACACCTTATGATTAAATCTAAAATCTTGGCTTTCACCTACACAGCTTTCCACTACAATACGGCAAGCTACAAGTCACTTCAAGTTGGCAAATGCAGCCTATCTGAGTCCCTCTACTCTATCACCTTCACCTGTTCTTATCCCGGCTTCAGCACTCTCTCTATTAGTAATTCTCTTGAACTTCCCTATTCTTATCAAATGGAATACGCAAAATCACTGAGGGCCCTTCTCTTATGCTTCCTGATATATGTTTTATTATCTTGGCCGTAGGTTGAAACAATGTATGAAATAATTTGCAAAATTCTAGTTAAAATGGCTTCAGATGTACAGGAAGTTTCTCTTAGAAAAGGTGCACCTTCAACCCCATCTCAGAGGAGTATGATTCCAGGGATAAGCTTCTCATAAGAAACTTCTTGGATTTTGGTATTTAAGAAGCATTGCAAAATGAGCAAAGGCATATTATGGTGTGTAGACAATCTGTAAAATAAAATTGTGTTTAAAGAACTACTGTCACTTCCCAAATCTTAGCACAACCTAATTGCTAAGTTAAAGCTAGCAATTTGTTGTGCTAAAATAGTTTTAAAATTCTTATTAGTTTATTAGTTTAATAAGTTATTTAACTCTTGCTTTGGAGTATGTCCGTTGTGTTAGTAATAAAAATAGAATCACAGCCATGGAGATGGACGAATTGTCCGCACTAATACACGAGAACACTAGATCTTTCCATAAGATCTGGGACCCCTGGTTGGCATTGTAAGACACCGCAAGCGGGGACGGGGGGGGGGAGAGAGAACTGCCCCCCCCTCTTTGCCACATTCCACCCCTGCCCCATACCCACCCACACCAGACATCAAAACACCACAACCAACAGAAAACAATTACATAAACTGGCAAACATCATGACTACAAGCAACCATCTGACCTAACTCAGGTGAACTCCACAAGCTCAACCACACACAACAAAATGATAGTACGACACAAGGACACTCTCCAAGTTCTAAACCCCTAAACCCCCGACCCCAGAGGCACCACCTCACCCCCAGAGGACGGAGACAGCACAACGCAACAGACAGAGTACGACAACGACACCTCACAAGGCCCATGAACTAGGCGAAGGCCAGGTTTGAGCCTCACAACGCATCACCAAAACCTTTCGCCTAGGGCCCATTACCTAAACTCAGGGTAAACGGTGGTTACGCCAAACAGAGGGGACATCCCCATCCATCATACCCACCCGACCCTTCCAGACCCTGGGCAACGGGAGTTACATGTTGGACAACTGGAACAGTGAATGTAAACAAGGATATATTAATGAGTAGAAATGTAACCAACATAATTGTAACATGTTGCACCCTTTTTTCCTTTCTGTACCCCATAACGTTACAAAAAAAAAATTTCTTCTTTTGAAGACTCAAAAATAAAGAATTTATAAAAAAAAAAAAATAGAATCACAGAACACAAAAAAAAAAATATGTATTCTGTAGTTCATATCAAAAATATTGTAAGGGAATTAAATTTTTATGATTATCAATTGCCAGTCAATTATGACCAAATAATACTAAGCTCAGGACAATGATGTGTGATAGCATTCTCTGCCAACTGCAGAGACACAGTGGACCAGGGATGGACTGACAGCCTTCTGGGCCCCCGGACAAAATTAGATCCAGGGCCCTTCGAAGACAAAATATTAAAGGAGCACTATAGTGCCAGGAAAACAAACTAGTTTTTCTGGCACTATAGGGTCATTATGTCCCCACCACCCTCAGGGCCCGCTGGGCTGAAGGGGTTAAAACTTCTTCAGCCACTTACCTTTCTCCTGCACCGGGCTCCCACGGCTCTGGGGAATTCTCCTCCCTCTGCTGACATCAGATTTTAGTGAGCAAGAGCCGCGCACGCATTACTAAATGATTTCCTATGGACGTCCAGCTTGTCTTCTCACTGTGATTTTCACAGTGAGAATCGCGGAAGCGCCTCTAGTGGCTGTCAGTGAGACCGCCACTAGAAGCTGGATTAACCCTTAGTGAAACATAGCAGTTTCTCTGAAACTGCTATGTTTCTAGCTGCAGGGTTAAAACTAGAGGGACCTGGCACCCAGACCACTTCATTGAGCTGAAGTGGTCTGGGTGCCTGTAGTGGTCTTTTAAGGACTAAGTAAATGTTAAAAAGAATTTTAAAGTAAGTAGTCAAGCTGTTTGAGAACAGTTTGACAACTTACCTGGGGTTTGCTGGGACATGAGGATGTAGTAGGGCATAGGAGCAGTGGTGTGTGTGTGAATTTTTGTTTGTCTATTTTATAGGAGAGTCTTGGTTCCAATACTTAAGGCACCAAGGTGTGTGCAGTCCTTTATCTGAGGCATCAGGGAGCTGGAAATATTTGGTAGCATTGGAGGCAAGTACACACAAATGGCTTTTTTGTTTTATGCACAAAACTCACATGGAGCTGATACTACTACACAGATCATGATATATATATATATATATATATATATAGAGAGAGAGAGAGAGAGAGAGAGAGAGAGAGAGAGAGAGAGAGAGAGAGAGAGAGAGAGAGAGAGAGAGATTTGACAGATATAGGCAGCTGAAATGGCAACATGTGAAATATATCATTGCAACCTACATCAGTATAACCTGCACACTATAAAACAGCATTCATAAAGATATGTGCATACCTAAGAGTCGGTTTCCTACCAACTCCATTGCCATTAGCAAGCACACACAGTACAGAGCAAAATATCTGCCTTGTGTCTTAATCCTACAGAACAGTTCAAACAGATATCCCAACATACCGGGCGAATTGCTAAAGGCTGCAGGCCCTGAACCCCAAATATTGTTGTCTAATTGAAGATGAAACCTAGTTCTTGTGTATATTTGGAGTAGAAAACTGTTTATTTTTGCCACTGAAATTGCAAATGATTGCTCAAACAGAGCTGAAACTCTTTTATAATATATTCAGAAAAGAAATTCACGATTTACTTCAGGCTTTTGTTGTTCTGTGGAGCATTTCGATAATTTACATCATCAATCAACTCAGTGAACGTTGTATAAAAGTTTTATCACAAACAGTGTTTGATATATATATATATATATATATATATTTATATATATATATATATATATATATATATATTGGTAACATTTCCCCATTCCTCTCTGTTACATACCTCGTGGCTCAGGTACAATGTTGCAGGAGGCAGTACATGATGATTTAATTCTCTGCTATTTTAGAGACAAATTTACAGACAGTGATTTGACTCTTAAATGCAAGGGTCCTAGAGCTTTTTGCCACTACGGTATTAGACCCTTTTGCCCCATCACTTGATCACCAGGTTTTAAAAGGATTTCCGAGTGTGTATAACTTCCAGGCAATATCTAATATTAACCCACTGTTAAGTACATCGACTATGGTCTGCTAAGACATGATGACAGGTCAAATTAACCATAACTTGTTGTTTTAGTCATACAGGATATATTTACTGTTATGTTTTTATTTCAAGGTGGCAATTGTTCACATTAAGAATGCTGATGACAGGAAGCATTAAACATTTTATGAAACTTGTATTTTTTGAGGGCATCAGTTTGTTTTTTTCCTTTAAGCTTGTGAGTTCTGTGAAATTTTGAATGGTAACTACGATGATGTTGTTTCAGCTTGGATAGAGATGTCTGCGTAGTTAACACTGCAGATTGCACAGAAAATTTTAATAAAGGGAAGCATTTACTGACAAGCTGCTAGCAGAGTAACGTTATAAATCATTCTTGCTGCCAATGTATTAAGCTTCTGGATATCCAGTTGTTGCAGCTGCTGTAATACATGCTTAGGAAATACTAAGGCAACAGTTCTAAAACAATTTTAACGTAAACTTATTAGAGCAAATCAAACTCTCTACAACTGTTCTTACTGCTCTATAAAACATCTATTGCTTTATATAACCTTTCCCTATAACTTTACATATTGCTCTATATACTCTCTCCATTTACCCCCTTTTGATTCTATTGCTTTATAGAAGCTCTCCTAACTCTTCTTGTTAGTTTATATAACATTTTTCCTATTGCTCTATTGAACCGCTCCCTTTAAATCTTTTTATTGCTCCTTACAGTCTCTTCCAATAACTGTTCCAATTGTCCTATAGGACATCTCCCTATAGCTCTTCCAATTCTTCTATACAATCTATGGAACTCCTCAATATAACTCTTCATATTGATCTATAGAACCTCTGCCTATAACTTACCCAATTGCAGTATGGAATCTCAATAAACCCCCCCCCCCTACCGTAACTGGTCCTGCTAAAGGGAACCTCTGTCTATAAGATTCCTATAGAGTTACCTAATCTCTCCCTGTAATTATTTATATTGCTCTATTAAACAACCCCCATAGCTTTTATCACTGTATTAATTATGATACTGATTGCTTATTTTGTTTCTGGCATAGCTATTGTCAAAATGAAAGATATCGAACACTTGTTTATAGATGTGTTAATTGCTGGCATAATCAAAATGACCCATCAGTTCACGGGTTATTTACTTAAGTACTTTGTATAAAAAGAGCATCAGTGACTAAATCTTCACTCACAAGCAAGACCTTTTATTCATTTTGTATTGGTCTGTGTATATTGTACTGTCTTTTTCCCAATTGTACATCGCTGCAGAATTTGTTGTAACTTTTTAAATGCCAGTAATAGTAATATGAATAATCCATTATTTCAGCGCATCTTATTTTGTCGAATGACGTATCTCTGTCACTACTCCATCCTCTCCAAAAATCCCCTCCTATTGCTCAGTGTTACCACTCCCTACAATGCCTGGTACTGCTCTAACCAATTTTAGAAGTTTCCTTCTGTTCGATAGAACGCTTACTTTAAATAATCATATTGCTACTCAAACACGGTCCACTCATTTTGTCAGCATACTGAAGCTCCAAAGACGCACATTCGAAGAATTGATCACTATCCAGTATTTTTCTGTTGGTCAATCTTTTCTTTACCCTCATTATAGTTATTACCCAGTTATAACGCAACCATGAATAGCATTTTTTTTCCCAAGATGCAGTTCCATCTAGCGACACTGGGAGCAGAGCTGAGAATTTTCAGCTGCGTCACAGAACAGAGAGGAGAAACAGTCTGTGTCGACAGGTCTCTGAAAATCAGCTGCAGCAACACACAGAGAAGAGAGATCTGCGAAAGCCAGCAAGTATGATGGGCTGGGCACTGTCATATGCTGAGCATCTTTGCACAAACTGATACCCAGTTTCCAAATTTCTCTGTTCGTGTCTGTGAGATGCAGAGAAAACGTAACATATTAATCCCGCAGGGGGGGGAGGTGAGACGATGGTAGATTGTGATGGGGAGGGCGAATGATGAGGTTCGGGATGATGAGTGTGGGTTTGTGAAGGGGTTAATGGAAATTCTGGAACCTTCTACCCGTACGTGGATGTCACGCGGATACCCAAACCTACGCAGCAATAACTGGGGGTGAGTGTTCTCATATTCTGAGTGCTGGCTGTTCCTACAGACGTAAAAGACAACCCTGGAGGTATTAAAGACTGCGTCACCGCCACCGTGACACAGCGGACACCCGGTAGGTAACATTTGGTTATTAGAAATAAAACTGTGCTTTTTCTCAATGCCACTGAAGGTTAACATGGTAAAATTCATTTGTATTGGTACAGGTTGCACAGCTGCAAGACTGTACAAATACAGTATTTACCCTTGTTGCCTAACCAAAAGGACAGCATGCATTGTAAGGAATGTTAGAATGAGCTCTTGGTTTCTAGATTCCTACGTGGCAGTCTTCTGTTTGTTTGTGTTATTTATTTTTATGAGGCTGCATTGCATGCTATTCTCTTTTCGATCACACTCCTTTCTTCTTTACCAGTATAATGGCGCAGTACCAAATTTTTACAGCACCATGTACGGAATCTCCGCTTCTCCTTTTTTAATTTTCTTTTTTATTAAGTGGGGTATATTACTTTTGAATTTTTAGCACTTTCAAGCCAGCAGTTGCTGAGAAGCAAAACTTGACAATGTTTTTTTTTATACAGTGCTAAAGGGGTTAACAATCTTCAGAAGGCACTCAGAGGGCGCAAGGAGGTGGACCAGCATTTAAGAAATAAATGTCATCCCTCTGGCGTTGCAAAGTTGTTTACCTGTCTCTCTTTCCCTGTCTCCATATTGGCAGATTTCCAGCCTACATGTGATATACTTGCCTGGTGTTTCTGTATTCGTTTTAGAGGATGAACTCAAATAGGTTTTGTCTGGGGGTGGGCTTCCAACCCAAACACTTCATCCTATTGGTAGGCAATACAGTTGGCAGGTGAAAACCTATTTCCTATTGGCTGAGGTCAGGATGTGATATTACATTTTCTGTTGCTTTTCAGTAGACAGTAGTTTAGTTTTTTTGCTTTTTATTTACTGTGATGCAGATGTTTAAATGATTTAATTTTGTTTAACCTTTTTTTTGTTTTGTTTGTTTAATACCGAGGTAGAACGTAGTAACCTGAATGTTACTGTTATTATCATGTATAAAAACTGTGCAGTCCAGAAACACTAGCAACAAAATGACATACAGTTTGCATACAGATCTCTGATAAGAGTAATTTGGAATGTAAAATAGCCACATGTCTAGGATTGTCCAAAGGTGCGTCATTAGTGATTTGGTGAGATATTTATATTTGGAATTATTCCTAATGGAAAGCCAAAGTCTTTATGGGAAATATGAAACGTAAACATAATATATAGGTATATAAATATAATAGAGAAAGAATGTTGTTCCTGCTTAAACAGGCAGTTTATGTGAAAAAAAACAGCACATAAAAAGGACTAGATCAAAAATGGTGGCATATGTGATTGAACCTTTAAACATGCGCAACATGTAACAAGTCAGATCTATAGGTTTCATGCTGTACTTAAACGGTATTCTTTATTTTTTTCTCTCCAGTATCCTATTCTGGTAAATGACGCAGGTTGTAAAGATTGTAGTAACGCTGTTATCTTATCTAGTATTCTTTCTATTTGCATTTCCTGCTACCAAAGTAGTGATTGCTGAACCTGAAGTCATGGGTTGTGTTGTTCTCTGGGGACATTTCCAGCTCACTGTTATGTAGATCCCTTAACACTGATCACTTCAAACAAGGTTGCTATGGTCAGGATGTATTCACATGAATACCCACTTGCAAAAAAGAAATATTTATAGAGCAGCAGAGCTTCCTTCTGCTTAACACTTTCATTCACAGGGAGCTCACCTGAACAGTAAGCTTTCATTTGATATTTGCTATAACAGAGGTGAAGCTCGCAAGCCCTTTTTGTTTTGATTTTCTCTATCCTGTAAAAGATCATTATTTGGCTTCTAAGACTTATGCGTACATGTGTACACTTTGCAACAGTGATATTGTCCTGTCAAGCTATAGAGATTAATTAAAATAGTCCCTCTTAATAGCTGGTGTTTAGATTTAATAGTGATTTGACAAACATTTTAATAAAGGTTGGTTAGGGGTGGCCAAAAGATAGATCCCCATCTGTTTTATAACCGCAACCTCCTTGACATCCTTAACCCTAGTTGTAGTTGTATAACGACAGGTTACATGCCTTTTTTGGCAGCCATGTCCTAAGGCTTTTCATATTTGCAATTAGAATAAGTTTATAAAACTAATAATAAATAATGAAATTGAGGGATGCTTGGATAAAAAAAAGCATTTTACATCATTAGTTTAGTACTATTAAACTCTTGTTGTGTACGCACCATAACTACTTGTGATTTGGGGACAATCACGTATGACGCACATTGAAAAATGCCATGGATCACACTCTGCACTTGTGCTGAGTGTTTTTTTTTTCCTATCATTGCAAAATGAGACTGGTTTAAGATGGCATGACCTCGATATTTAACCACCGGGTGGAAAAAAAAAGAGAAATACATCATTAACAAACAAGTTTGCACAGGAAGAAATGAAGAAATGAAATAGCCTGCGTCACAGATTTTTATTCTCTTCTCTCTCGGTATACATGTTAGCTGGCCTTTTAAAGTGCTAAGAATTTTAATCTCTGTTGCAAAATGAGAACAAAAAGATGGTTTATAAACTATGGTATTAAAGCTGATGTCTGTACGAGTTTTGCACTATTTGAAAATGGAATTTATTAATATTAGTAATTTTATATTTGGTGACAGATTTCAGCCTAAAAGCTGATGGATGAAGGGTTTTAGTCTGATAACTACCATCTGTGTCACATTCTGTTATGGATTATTATATTGCTCTAATAAATGGCGGCTGTATACTAAGGGTTGCCACCTTTGAAAAACAAAAATAGGAGAAGCACTTTTGATTAGTGCAGTATTGCACAGTCTAAGGGCAGCAAAACATGACTTTCTTTCACCTTTATTATCTATTGCGTCACACCTATGTGCATCATTATTCCTCCATACCTCTGCTGTTTGTTTGTTTGTTTTTTCTCCCTAGTCACTTTTCACCCTCTTTCTGGTCACATGTTCTTCTCCATGCATCCCTTTTTTTCAGTATTCTTTTTTCCAACTCTTACGTCCGTACTGTTTCCTACCCAAAAATTTTTTGCCTCCTCTTAATCCATCATTTGTTGTCTTTTACCTTCTTCACTCTTTAGAACCCACTCAGTCTCTCTATCTTTTTCCTAGTGTTTCCCATATAATTCTGTGTACTTTCCCATCTATTGTTTGGAAATTTTAACCTTTCTCTTTTTTTCTCTCCTATATCAATCATTTTTTTATCACCCACTGTCTTGTTTCCTCTCAGATGGTTGTCTCTCTGCTTATCTCTCCCTTTTCTGTGTCTTTTGATTTTATCGTCCATGCGTATATCTCCGATTTCCCCTCCCTTGCCTTTCTGTTTGGCTTTTTGTTCCTTTGCTATTTATTTGGCTTCCTCTCAGATATCTGTCTTTATTCATTATTTTTATTATTGCCATTTATATAGCGCCAACAGATTCTGTAGCGCTTTACAATATTATAAGAGGGGGTATTTAACTATAAATTGGACCATTACAAAAAACATACAGGAACGATAGGTTGAAGACCCTGCTCAAACGAGCTTACAGTCTATAGGAGGTGTTGTGTAAAACACAATAGGACAGGAGATAGCAGTCAAACAAGGTGGAGTGAAGCAGAGCTGGAGGAGAAAGTAAGTGCTACCCTTTAGGAGAGGGCAAGAGACAGGTATGTGAGGTAGAGATTTCTTCGGGAGGATATAAGCTTTCCTAAAGAGATGGGTTTTAAGGCACTTCTTAAACAATTGAAGACTAAGGGAGAGTCTGATGGTGGTAGGTAGGCTATTCCATAGGAAGGGAGCTGCCCACAAGGAATCCTGCAAGCATGAGTTGACTGTATGGGTGTGAGCAGTGGATATTAGAAGGTCATGGGCAGAGCGGAGAGACTGAGAAGGGGCATACCTACAGATCTGTGAAGAGATATAAGAGGCGCTAGAATTGTTCAATGCTTTATAGGTATGGCTTAGTACTTTGAATTGACTTCTATAGGATACAGGAAGCCAATGTAAGGACGGACAGAGGGGTGAGGTGTGAGGAGACCAACTGGAGAGGAAAATCAGTCTAGCAGCAGCATTCATTACAGACTGTAGCAAGGCAATACGGCTTTTGGGCAGACCAATCAGGAGAGGGTTACAATAATCCATGCAGGAAATTACTAGAGCATGGACAGGCTCCTTAGTAGCATCTTGCGTAAAAAAAAGGAGTGGATGTAGGCTATGTTTTTAAGATGGAATCTATAGGATTTGGCAACATACTGGATGTGAAGCTCAAAGGTGAGGCCAGAATCAAGTATAACGCCAATACTGCACGCTTGCAAGGATGGACTGATGTGGTTACCACTAACTTGAGAGTGAAACTGGAGAGTGAAAGAGGAGGATCAGTATTGGGAGGAGGAAAGACAAGGAGCTTAATTTTAGAGATTAAGTTTCAGAAAGCGGGAGGACATCCAGTCAGAGATGGAAGAATGGCAAGCAGTGACACTTTGCAGGACGGCGGGGCAGAGGTCCGGGAAGAGATATATCTGGATGTCATCAGCGGACAGGTGGTACTGGAATCCAAATGAGGTAATAAGTTTGCCAAGAGAGGCCGTAAAGAGTAAATAGAAGGGGACCAAGGACAGAGCCTAAACTGTCTGTTTGTTTGCTTTCCTATACCTTATCAGTTACCCCCCATTCAGCATCTCTTCTGCGCCCACCCACCATGTACTTATTAGTAGAAAATATAACACACTGCTTACTTTTCAGCCTCTGGAAGATAATATTATCTAGACAATTCAATATGTAGGCAGCACCTTGATAAACCAATATGTCTGCTCCCTCTAGTTCTGGGGTAATTAAAGAAAACAGGTTGCCAGCGAGGGTATAAACTTACCATTCTCTTTTTTTTCAATCTTTCTTTTATTGAGGCATGTGAAAAATACAGAACAAAGAGAAGGCAAAGGAGCAATTGATGGTACACAGACATTGTTATAAACATATGGGTATAAGCTCCTGAGTAAGTCGGCCTCATTTTTATAATAAAATAACATGAGATATCCTACATGAGTTACATGAGATATCCTACAATAGGCATACAGGTAATAAGTTTGTACCCAAGCAGACATGTTGCAGCCATAACAATTATCGAGTCTTACTGTATATAAGCAGGATAAGAAACATTTTAATATAAAATAACCATGAGTGGGTAAAATAAGGCAAAACAAACAAAAACATGTGAAACTAGAGCCTACAGAGATGGAGAGAGCTATGGGTTTAAAGGTGATTAGTGAGAGCAGGAGATTCAGCCCACGCCCGTCACGTAATGGACACTGCCCCAGCAAGTAGAAAGACTAAAGACCCATGCATCTGCACCTTACCAGGACTCTGGATCAGGTGGATGCAGAGATAAGATTCTGTATTGACAACAGGCACATGGTTTTCCCTTTTCTCAACACAAATGTGGGCTGGACAGGAGATATGTTATCTCCCTACCTGGCCGAAAGAATAAGTGTGCAATCCACGCATTCTCTTTTTTGGATTATTTATTAGGGTCAATATGACATATTGACTGTCTTGCAAAAATCCAGGTGAATTAACCTTCTGTACAATATCACGCTAGTGGTGATGTATACTTTTATTTACAACCACAGGAAATGAAAAAACACAACTACATGTTGTCCCTCACATATGCTGCTGTTTATAAAGTAACAGTTCGGTTTCCAAACACAGTGCATTGGCTAGAGACGTGTTACACAACGTACTTATGTGCAGAAAAGCATGACTCTCACGATCTACAATTTCAGATTACGGGTTTTAAAATGCAGAAAGAAAAAAAAAGCATAGGCTAAATATATCTTCATCTCACAGCTGATATGTGCTGCAGAAATATAGCAGTGTATCAGTTGAGTAAAACTCTTTAACATAATTGTAAGCGTAGCTTGCATTGCTTGCTGCGTAGCTTGTCCCTGTGCTGAGTCATGGCCACAGCAGCGAAGGCATTGCAGCACTAGCCTCTTGGGGTTGCAGGATTATTTACAGCTACAGTACGATACTGAACAACATCGCTCATGTAGCCATAAATGTATTGGCAAATATACCAGTATATACGCAGTAGAGCATCAGTTAAGGAATCTATCTGTCTAATTGTCTTTTTGCAGTAACAGGATGGCAAACCAAGGCATTCCAGCTTTTGTTGACTATAATACTCATAAATCTCAGCCGCTTTTGGGAATCATTTCACAGCACTTGGTCTGAGAAGGTCTAAGCTCGTCATATGTCATTATGTTTTAATTGGTCATGGTTTATTCATTGCAGTGATTCTTGTATTAATAGAAATATCATATTTTCCCCATTTCTCCCAACTGGGCAGTAGTTTACAAATAAATATGTTCATTTGTGGTTTAATATTGATGTTAATGTCAATCGAACAAACAGAACAAAGGATACAGGTAGCGCCAAAATAAAACAATATTGTAGTAAGTAATCAAAAAGGTACCAAGTAAAAGACTAAAATGCCCTTTTGAGGTCTTAAAAGTCTTCAAATGTTGAATAAGATGTCTACAGAGTGGTATCACACATCAAAGGCATATGCAAAAGAGAACATACGAGACCAATAGTGCAGTAATTGTAAGTCTATGGACTATAGATAACATAGAACTAAAAATTGCCAACTGCTATAACCAGCTTTAGGTAAAACAGCTTACAGTGTTTTTAATTGCATACAATCTACACTACAACTACCATCTGAGGGATATCATACAAGTGGGGAATTTAAATACCACTGTAAGCTGTTTTACCGAGAGCTGGTTATAGCTCTGAAAAACGTGAGTTGGCAATTTTTAGTTCTATGTTGTCTATAGTCCATAGACTTACAATACTGCACTATTGGTCTCCTATTTTCTCTTTTGCATATGCCGTTGATGTGTGATACCACTCTGTAGACATCTTATTCCACATTTGAAGACTTTTAAGACCTCAAAAGGACATGTTATCTATAACTTTGATTACTTGCTACAATATTGTTTTTATTTTGGGGCTAGCTGTATCCTTTGTTCTGTTTGTTCTATTTATTCTTGAAGGTTTTGAGGGTTACTTTTGTATTCAGGTGTGCAACCCATTGTGATCAGTTATTGTAGCGCTGTTTCACCCTTGCTTTTTGATGTTAATGTGAAGTGTTTATGTTGTAGATGCCATTATTTTTACATGTATTGTTATGTATGGAGACTAGAGAATTGCATAATGTTTGTATTATTTCAGTTGTATTAATGAATAACTATTATGGCAACCTTTCATTTCCTTGTGATAGTCTTTGTAACCATGGCAATGAGTTGATAGGTTAGAATTTTAGCAATAATAACTAATCAAGGTCAGAGCAATATGTAATGGTTTTAAAATGGACATTATCCAGTTTTTATGTCAGGTGACACCTGTTTTAATGATACCATAGCTATACAGGGTTATTTACTAAAGTGAGAATTCAAAGTATGTGAACTGGAAAAATTCTCAGGTATGCTTCTATTCGGCTGCTTTGGACTTAATTTGTAATTCACGTTAAATTCTTAATTTAGCAAATAAGCCTGATAGTGTTTAGATTTGTAGGTACAGCTGCTTCATTTGATTAGCAGTGGATATCAATTTTTTTCTGACTGTAAAGCACTGGATTGTATTATAAAATGTATACGAAATTCACAGAACATTTTACGGGGCTATATATCATATGTCAATGGGCCACCTGTTGCCTGCAACTTCTTGTTTGGGTAAGTTTCTTTAGGTATTTTGAATAGGCCTTAAATGTACAATTTTATGTATGGACTGTTTATGTATAATTCTGTCTGCTTATATCCCATTACATTTGCAGTTTAAAGAGAAAAGTGGCATGTAGTAGGAATCAGAGACAGACACAATTGCAAGAACTGAGTTTGAGGAGGTTAAATGAACAGTCCAAATCCCTAAAGCTTTTATAATTGCTGAAATGCTCTTGGAGTTACATGAGTGTCCTCTCTTTCTTACTTAAAAAAAGTGTCAATTTCAAAATCATGAATTGCTTCGATTGCTTGCTCAATGTGGAAGTGAGAGATTTGCATGAGAAGCATTATCAGACTAGCACAGCAATGTCAGAGCATGCGTACACCTCCCATAAAAGGGAGATAATCATCCGTAGTGATCACCTAGTGATGTTGGCCAGGAGATCATCCATAGTAATGAGGGAGAAACAGAGCTGTGATGACGGACCCTCTATCCATTGGATCTTTTTAGGGGAGAGGATAGGGGCCTAAATCGCATTTTGTTTAATTAGAAAGTAAGTATGTATTACACTGGGGTGTTTCTTTAAGAAGGGCAGTATTACCAGGATTACAAACGAAGAGAAGGATAGGATTTAGGTGCATGATGGCCAAGTGGTAGAATTAAGATGAAGGATTGATTAGAACGATAAGAGTAAGATTGTGTTGCAGGATTTAAAATGAAAAAAAGAAAGAGAATGTGGGATTGGAAAAAAAAATAAAAAGTCAAGATGGAAGAAGGGTTGCTAAAATATTGCATGGAGAAAAAAGGGCATGATTAAAATACAGAATTGAGAAGAGTTACGAGAGTAGGATTAATGTTGATAGAATTAGAACTAGAATGCTTGGGGCAGAAGGGTTTGGTGAAGAGTACTAGGCTGCAGGGTTAAAAAAAAAAAGAAAATAGAAAAGTTTTAGGTTAGGATTCAGGTTTAAAATTGGGTAGAATAATGGAGTTAGGATATAGGATTCAGGAGAGATACAAGGAAGAGATTATAAATAGGAGACAGATCAATTTAGAAAGCATGATTGAGGGGAGGACTTGACTAAGCAAATGAGGAGAGAAAATAAAGAATTGCAGTAAAATTATGCAGAAAGGTGTTAGATCACATGAGGGAGGAGAAACAGATGGCCATTGTTAGGATGGAGAAATGAGCCAAATTAAGATGTGAGATGGAAAAGTGCAGACTTGGGTAGCAAGAAGACACCAAGATAGGACACATGAATGAGGAAGGCCAAATGGGGTGAGTGATTTTCCATTATTTTAGCAGAGCATGCTTAAGTAGAGATAACATAACAAGAAAAATACTCAAATGAGGAAGAAGCCAAAAACAGGGTTAGGATACATTAGTGATCATGACAAAGAAAGGAAGACTGAAATTGTGAGTTACTTGCAAAAACAGACAGTTTATTCTCCTATATTTTTATTTTATTTTTTTATATTGATACCTATTTTTAATGCAACATATATTTTATGCTTTGCAAAGGTATTCACAAAAATAAATAGATTTCAATTACAATATCATCTATATGATGACAATACTCAGATTTAACTTTCCTCTTCTGACCTCTCTCCTGATCTCTTGGAATGCATCACAAACTGCCTCTTTTCCATCTCCAACTGTTATCTAAAACGTAATATTTCGAAAACTGACTTCTTCATCGTTCCTCCTCAAATGGTTCACTACCATTTACCTGTCAACCTCTCAAGCTCACTGACTTTGTGTAACTTTCAACTCAGTCTTGTTTTTTTCTCCTCACATCCAATCTGTCTCCAAATCCTGCGACTCACTCCTTAAAAATATTGCCCATATTTGCCCCTTTCTAACTCAACATTCAACAAAGTCCATGTGTTAATCATTTCCCAACTTAACTATTGCAACACACTGCCCATCAGCCTTCCAAACACATGCCTTTGAGGGCTTCCCCATTCCTGTAGAATTCCCTAACACATGCTATTTGATTCTCCTCTAGCTTCCAGTCCTTGAAAACCCAACTCTTTAAGAAAACCTACAATCTTCTTGAGTGACTCTTCTCTCATTACAATTTCCCTCTTCACCTACCTCGTTTGTTTCCATAGCCAAGTTTACTCTTTCTCCCTACACAAGTCACTTTTACTGGCTTAATATGACACATCATCAATCAATCCTTCCTCTCCTGTGACATGCTGTTCTTCATCTTGTGTTTCTTATTTGAGCAGGGCCTGCTTTGTCTCTGTCAAAATTATTCTGTATGTCAATTTATTGTTGTCGAGTGCTGCAGAATATGTTGGCACTATATCCACTGATCAGCCACAACATGTAAACCATGTAGGTCCCCCTCATGCTGCCAAAACAGCTCTGATGGATCGAGGCATATACTCCACAAAATGTCTGAATGTGTCCTGTGGTATCTGGCACCAAGACATTAGCAGCAGATCCTTTAAGTCCTGCACATTGAGAGGTGGCCTGCCATGGATTTAATTTGTTGTTCCAGCACATCCCACAGATGCTCTGTCAAATTGAGGTCTGAGGAATTAGGAGGCCAAGGCAACACCTTGAACTCTTTGTCATGTTCCTTAAACCATTGATGAACATTTTTTGCAGTGTGGCAGAGTGCATTATCCTACTGAATGAGGCCACTGCAGCCAGGGGACATCATTGCCATTTATGGGTGGGTGTACATGGTCTGTAACATTCTCTAGGTAGGTGGTACGTGTCAAAGTAACATCCACATGAATGCCAGGACCCAAGGTTTCCCAGCAGAACTTTGCCCAGAGCATAACACTGCCTCCGCCGACGTGCCTTCTTACCATAGTGCATCCTGCTGCCATCTCTTCCCCAGGTAAACAATGCACACACATCCAGACATCCATCTAGTCTAAAAGACAATGTGATTCATCTACCATTCACATTATCCCGTGAATGAAGGAACATGCGAATATATCACATTTTTAATGCTTTATTTACATAATGCATTAAACATATACCTCTGAATATACATACAGTAATTGCTTACTTCTTCCGCATTGATATCGTAGGAAGCAGATAAGGTGAGTCAGTCCTCATCCTTGTATTGATTTTATTGTCAGCTCTGTACATATCCCATAATTCCCTGCTGTGCAAAAATATATGGAAAAAAGAAAGCATCCATACTGAGGAAAAATTCTGCTGTATTGTTACAGTGATTGCTTCACATTTAATATAATAAATTAATGAGTAGCTCTTGCGCAAATGAATGGAAACTGGCAAGTGATCTGATCACTCACATGAGTGTCTCCATTATTATTTTTTTGAATAAGTAAGAAGCAGTAGTCAGAAACCAGGTCAGCTTGTGGTACAGCTCACTCAGACAAAAACAAAAGGGAAGAGCTGTTCATTTCCATAAACCACCTCTTTTTACCTATGGAACATGCAGCTAGGTTTACATATCTTAGCTTCTCCTCTGGAAACAAGATAATTGATGCTAAGGTACAAGAATTTTGGTACTGCAAAAAACAAAACATTGCAGGATTTTTTGCTGAATGCTTTGCCAAATTGCTGAAGCAATTAATGTCCATTTCAGTCTAGAACAGAATTCCCCAAAAAAGGCATTATTCTGTTAAATGGTTTAGACATGAGTAGGCAGCATGGAAGGATCACAATGAACAGTCTCTTTAGACTGACTACAAGTTCAGTAGCTTTTTTCAAAATATTGGATGGTTTGTTGATACTTGAGTTGCCTAGCACTCTGCTGTCAGGTAGAATCTTATTTTTCTATTTTCAAAACAAGCCCTAGCAAACTAGTATCTTGCGTTGTCAGATTCTGATATAGCTGCCAGCAAGGCTCCCCTTCCCTAATGTCAATTATTTTGCATTTGGTTAGTGTAACTGATCGTCTGTGAAGCCACTTGTGCTCCTTACTCATTGACCCAAGAAAAGCATTGTTTCTCATATTGCTTTCAACTTTACTACATTGCACTGAGTAAACCAGAGCAAGGCCATCAGTGAAGCTCATAATTGCACTGAGCTGTACTATATAATGGCTGCCGCCAGGGTTATTCCAACCTATAGATCTCCAGCTGTTTCACATAATCTATAGCCACATATTTTTTGTGTGAGTGCCATGAACGTTATAGTTCAACAACTTGAAATGTACAAATTTGATCACATTAACAGGTTTTGTCAATATCAGTAGGAGGCCTTAAATAGTTTACTACCACATTTTCCTCCTGTTTCAAGTGAATGTATCTTTTCAAAATCAGCAAGTATATACTTGCCTAGGAAAATTTTTTTATTTTTTTTTTTATTTATTTTTTTTGGGGAGATTTCTGAATTCTATTTTAAAATAAACTGTGTGTTGTGAAAGACATATTGTATTCAACAAAACACACTTTAATTAATTCAGCGCTGTTATAAGACCTCTGGAATAGGGTTGTTTAAAATATATCTGGAAACTGAAGTAATGGTTGAAGGGCGTGATATTATCTGGACTAATAAACAAGTTTGAGTGCTTCAGACCTATACCGAAAACAGATACTGAACCCAACCCCTTGGGTATATATGTGCTGGTAGAGATGTAAGAAAGTCCCACTGGGGATCTTTCCCATGAGATTTAGCTTAGTCTAAATTTTAAATTTTTTAGTCACACTGTGATCAAGAAACCTTGAACAAAATGTCTGACTTTGGCCAGTAATTTGCAGTGGTTCTCATCAGTCCACTATTGAGTCAGTGGAACCTTTGCCCAGTTTTGCTGGCTCCTGGGCTCAAGAAGTTAACCCACGAACGTATTAAGCATAAGGTTCCACCTTACAGCCCGGTATACATCCTGTAGTAAAAAGGGATCAATTTCTGTTTTGCATACTGAGGTATTTTCACACACTATGCTGCTATTTTAATCTTGTAATTAATACCTTGAGCAGTTGACTTGCGATTTACTATTTTACCAAATAGCAAACTCCTTGAAAAATACTTGCATTGTTACTCACATTGTTGCTCACATAGTATTTAGAAGTTATTTGTAATGTCTGCCCATGTGGTTGTCTTGGTCACTGTTCCAAATTTCATCATAAATGTACAGCATTAAGAGAATGTAGGCCTTAAGTTGTAGTAAGGGGAGCTGCAGTAATAGACAGGAAAATATGAAATGAAGCTGAGCTTGAGGTGGTTTGTAGATGGAGTCTCAAAGCATTTTGACAGACTTTTTGGACGGTCTGATGGATGGCTGTGGCTAGTGGGTGTTGAAGGTTGCTTGTAATTAATGGGTATAGATGGATTAGGAACTGCACACTGTTCATGTATATCCACTCTCCCTCTTCTTTGTTGAAGATTTTCTCTGGATGATATTACCAATGACAACATCTGTGTCCAACGTGTGCTGGTGCTGATAGTTTTCACTTCTGAGGCCTCTACTCAACTGAATGTCCTCTCTCCTCACGTTTTACTACAGCTGTGATCTGTAGGAGATATTGGTGCTCACATTTTTTGATTATAAAGAAGTCAGTGAGAACTTGATTATTGGTACTCATTATGGCCTCGATTAAATATTTTTGGATGAACTTTTATAACTATGTAATTTCTTTTTAAATAACATTTGAAAATTATTTCATATTTTTAAAAATATTGCAATATTTGTATTTTTGTTTTGCTATAAAAATATATAAAATAAAGTTTTACTTACCTTATTCAAGTGCTGAGGCTCCCTTAAAGGACCACTCTAGGCACCCAGACCACTTCAGCTTAATGAAGTGGTCTGGGTGCCAGGTCCTTCTTGGGTTAACCCATTTTTTCATAATTATAGCAGTTTCAGAGAAACTGCTATAATTATGAATGGGTTAAGCCTTCCCCCTAATCCTCTAGTGGCTGTCTCATTGACAGCTACTAGAGGCGCTTGCGTGCTTCTCACTGTGAAAATCACAGTGAGAGCACGCCAGCGTCCATAGGAAAGCATTGTAAATGCTTTCCTATGAGACCGGCTGAATGCGCGCGCAGCTCTTGCCGCGCGTGCGCATTCAGCCGGCAGGGCGTAACGGAGGCGGAGAGGAGGAGGAGAGCTCTCCGCCCAGCGCTGGAAAAAGGTAAGTTTTTACCCCTTTCCCCCTTCCAGAGCCGGGCGGGAGGGGGTCCCTGAGGGTGGGGGCACCCTCAGGGCACTATAGTGCCAGGAAAACGAGTATGTTTTCCTGGCACTATAGTGGTCCTTTAATGCTGCTTACCTCTCTATATCCCGAGACATCTCATAGAAAAGCATTGAGGACCTGATGCGCATGCAGCACATGAATCCAAGCCTCCCAATAGGAAAGCATTGACTCAATACTTTCCTATGGGGCTTCCTCATCACGTGACCAAGTTTTATTCAGTATAATAGCCAATAGAGGTGACTTGACCCTGTAATGTAGATAATGCAGTTTCTAAAAAGCTACAATGTTTTACAGGGTTAAATGACAGGACTACTGCATTGAGATGAAGTGGCATAATTTGAGCACTAAACAATGATAAAAAGCACAGCACGGAAATACCTACAACATGTAAGTTCAATTTTTTTGAGCTAAAATCACTTAAATGATTTTAGCTTAAAATTTTATTTTTCTTCAAGATGTAAATAAGGCCCTTAGTAAGATCTCTTTGGTGTTTTCCACCAAAACATACTATAGTGGTTTGTAACTTATTTAAAAACATATAACTTTTTATGCTTTATGAAATACAAATCGGATAGACCGTTAGATAACACAATTTTTCTACAAATATTGCATTATTTCAAACAGAAACAGGTTGGTTAGCACATTATTTGGACATTCTTACTTGCAAGTAAACAACAAGAGTTATTGCAATTCAGGAAAATATAGGATAATATATTCACTAACAGGACAATAAAATAAAAATAAATATTTATTTCCATAGGTACGCAGTAGGCACAACAACTAATACACAGAAATGGTTTCTATCTGTTTTAAATCTAATCAGTGGTGTAGCTCTGTGACCTTGAATTCTCTGAGGATCAAACCCAGCATTCTGCATGTTACTGGTACAGCTATAAACATTTAAGTGAACAATATGTACTAAAAGCTACACTTTGGTTGTCAAGGCTATCACAAAAAAACCCAATGGTGCCTCAATTAAAATGTTTTATTATCTGACATTG